CCACAGGGAAAGCAGAAAACCAGACAGCCCTGTGGAGCGAGTTCAGGTCACTACTCACCAAAGGCTCCTTGCCCACAGGTGGGGCCTTCCTGGTCCTCGGCCGTGACCGCCACTTTGGGCCTGATCTCAACTGCCGTTTTAGCGTGGGCAGGGAGAACAGAGCACAGCCCTCTGACTGCAAGGAGCTATCCAGCAGAACCCTCTCGGGGACACTGGTCAGCCCTGGTCCCAGAGCAGCAATGTGCAACACACGGCCTGCGCCTCGCGAGGCCCTGGGACTACTAGCAGTCAGTCAGTCGTCCAGGGCCCAGTCTTCCTGGAGGTCCTATGGCGGCAGTGCAGACCTGAAGAGCCACACTCCAGCCCAAAACTCCTGGCTCGGCAGTGTAACAAGCCCAAGCAGATGGAGACGCTGCCGGCGGCACACCCGCGCAGCCCCCAGGTTTAGGCCGCCCTGGTGAGAAGACTAGACCCGGGCACTGGCCGCGGTATGCAGCCCACGGCTCTGACAGCAGCGTGCAGCACAAAGCTGGCAGATGGCAGGGACAGGGGTCGCGGGCCGAGCCACAGACAGCGGGGAAGAGGCCGCCTCACAACGGGATGAGCACAAAGCGGAGGCGTCGGGTGCCAAAAGCCCTAACGCCCAGTCTGCAGACCAAGGTGTGGCAGAGACCCTGGACGCAGGGCGACGCCGCCGCGTGGAATAGCCGCTAGGAGCAAGGCCCACAGCAGGGACGCCAACTGCTCAGTGGCCCGGCCGTGGCTGTGGCTTCCAGCCAGGGGCACGGCTCTAGAAGCAGGGGCGTGTGCAGGGGCCAGGCCCGGAAAAGCGTCCAGAGCTTAGCGACACAACGTGAGTGGCCTGACAGTGCTGGCCAGGAGGCCAGGCAGCACAGGGGCCAGTGTCACAAGCTGCGCACTGTACCACTAACAAGAGACATAAGAAAAAAAGGGTGGGGTGAGGGCCACGTAGGATGAGAAAAAAGGGCACCGCACCCCCAAAGCTTCTGGTTTGGAACAGTGCTCCTGAAACTTTGTGGCCCAGCCCCCAGAAGGTAACAAATAGTCCAAATGGGAGCCCACACGCTGCAGAGGCAGGGGCCAGGGGCTCTTGGACAAGCCCGGCTCCCCCTCCCCTGCAATTTCAGCAGCCGCTTAACCCCCACGCCCTTGGGAGCCTTGGCCTCGCCGTCACGTCCCCTGCCTGCTGGCCTGCATCTCGCGCCCTGTGCTGCCTCTCCCTGCCTTCCCTTTTCTCGCACTCCAGCCCGCTTCCGGGAGCGGCCACCCCACCAGTGCCCTGCTTCCCCTCCTGGCCCTGGCTCCCCACCCTCCTTCCCAAGAGGCCCACAGGCATCCTCCCGGGCTCGGCCCCAGCTGCTTCCGCAGGCAGCCCTGGCAGAAACACGCCCCCACGGCTGCGGGGCTGGCCGGCCCACTGGCTCCTTCCCCCCACGCTGGCTGCCAGAGCCGGCCCGCCCGCAACCCTGCCCCGCCACCCATATTACTGCCGTGCCCTGGTGTGGCCGCAGCGGCTCTCACTCCGGGAGCCTCCAGCGCTCTGATGGTGATGCGCGCTGACGGGAAGACCCACCGCGCTCAACTGATTGCGCAGTCCAAAGGACCCGGAGTTCAGGGGCTCCCACTGCTCATAATAGAAAAGCGGGGGAGATGGGCTTGGACTCGTGACAGAACTGCGTGGACACTTAATGCCGCTCGAGCTGGACTGCTTGTCCAAGGCCAAGGTTGGGGCGGAAAGGCAAGCCCCCCATGACAGGTGGCCCCATTCTTAAAAGCACAAGAGTTCTGTAGAGAAGCATCCAGGTGCTGCAGCCCCAGCACCCTAGATGGAGTTCTCAGCTCTGCTGATGGCCAGCTCTGGGAGCGAGAAGGCTCTGATTTTCTCTGAGCCTCAGTTTCTTCCTTGCAGAACTGAGATGAAAATTACTACATGTCCGGCACACAGAGGTGCCACAAGCATTAGCCACTACTGGGATAGAAAAATCTGGAAAGGTGTGCACAAAATGTCTATCAAGAGTGGCTGTGGCAGGGGCCTGCCTCCCTGGTGGTGCGGGGGTTATGTGAGCACAGTGAGCTGTCTGCAGCACGAGTGTGACCCCCCCGGCCAGGGAGGCCCGTAGGGCGCAGCAGACCTCTCCTGTCTCCCTGCTGCCTCCCTCAGCAGTGGGTGTCAGTGGATCCTCCTGTTCTGCTCCCCACTCTGTCTCTGGGGGGGTCCAACCACCCCTCCCCTTACCTCAGCTCTGTATGCATGACTAAATACATCTTTATATATAAAAAAAAAAGGTGGTTGGGGCAGCATTTCAGAGAACTTGCTTTCTTGTTCACTGAGAGCCTTGTCTCCCTCAGGGCCTCCACACTCCGAGGCCACTCACCCAACCCAAGTGCGCGCACGCGCGCGCACACACACACACAGAGCCCTGCTGCGGCCATCCAGCCTTCTAGACACCCCCAGTCTCTCAGGAGGCCGCACTCCAGGTGAGGGGGATTCCAAAGGCACATGGCTACTGAAGCGGGAGCCCCGGCCGGAAACTCATCACCTGGCTAACCTCACACCCTCCTTCCCAGGCCGCCAGCCCCCCGAAGGCCAGACGCTAGAACAAATGAAGGCCTGCAGGTTGCTGTGACCCCAGCATCAGGGGCACCCCGCTGGTGGAACTCCAATAGCGTGCTGAGGGCGATTCGGGCACTAATACCCCCAACACCGATCTTACTGTTCCTCTTGGGGCGGTCACTGCCCCGCACGGTCTCACACACTGGCATTGGCCAAGGTGCAAAGCAAAGCATCTGTCTCCCCCGCGAGGCAAGAGACCCGACCCAGGTGACACACAGGTGGCCCCGAAAGGACACGCCGGCAGCTGGCAGGCTGTGGGGAGCAGTCTCCTTCGCGGGGGCGCGTCCCATGCAGCCGGGTGACTGGGCAGTCTCTGAAAGAACCCACGGGGTACGGGAGGGCAGCGAGGGTCCGCTAAGTGCTTCCAAAGCGTCCGGCTGCGTCCAGAGGAAGCCTCCCACGGGCAGACTGCGGCGCCCCCTGACCTCAGGCCACGCTGGTGGCGAGATGGGCTCCGACTGCCGACACAAGCGCCGGCCGGATGCGGCAGAGCGACTTTTAACAGGAAGAACTTCGAACTTCACATCCGTGAAAGAGAAATGGGCTAAGACCTGGCTGGCCCCGCCACGTGACAGAACACTGCGTGACCATTAAGAGGAACTAGAGAGACGGTGTGAGTCATCTGGAAAAATCGCCAAGACATACTGCCGGGTGAAAAAGGCAAGTCAGAGCACAGCCAGAAGAGCCTCTGTGGCTTCGTCAAGAAAAAGTTCACGCTTCGCAGGAAGGGCTGGGGAGGGCGCAGCCGGCCACGCGGCAGAAGCCGCAGCGCGCTTGCTCTGCCTCGGGTTCCCGTGTGCTCGGCAGCGGGCTCTGCCCCTCTGCACCGGGTGCGCATGTCCTGGCGTGGGAACAAGCGACAACTGTGGGCTTCCAGGTCTACTGCCTGCCACCGATGGGGCTGTGAGGCTTAGGGTCTCTGGGGACATCTCCATGGCTGGGGTGGTGCAGAGAAGCAGCAACCTAGACTCTGCCTCCCACACTAGGAAGCAGCATGCATGCCTGGAACATTCCAAACATGAGCACATCCCTTGAAGGCTCCTGGTGACTCCACCCCGCCCCTGCAGTCCCTGTTTCCTTTACTAAGAAGGGACCGGAGACTCAGCTCACATCACAGGGTGATCTTCTCCTAAGGCCTCGTGATTCCAGACCTCAGTGTGGGTTTTCAGCTTCCAAGATGCTTCTTAGAGCTCCGTGTGCTTTTTGGGGCTAGTCCTTCGCTTGCTTCTGGCCGTCCCTGCTCTCAGGGGAAATCTGAGCTGCTGGTAGTGCAGGGCTTGTGGGTCCCCACCCCGCACACAGCAGTGCACTCGGGATTTCATTCTGGAGACCAGATCTCCACACCAACTCCCTTTCTGCCAGCCCGCGCGCACACAGCTCTTCCACAGCCCCCAAAGCCTAGGCCACATGCCCCACCCTCCCGGCCGTCTCACCTTCTGAAGCTCAGAAGCGTGCAAATAACACGGGCTTGAACACAAGCTCGAGGCAGCCCGCCCCGTCCAGCTCCACCTCACCCTCTGAACACAAGCTCGAGGCAGCCCGCCCCGTCCAGCTCCACCTCACCCCCTTCCAGCTCCAACCCAGGAATCAGGCTCACCTGAGCAACTGGCTTTTTCTCAGAAAAACGGAAGCCCGACAGCAAGAGATTTTAATGCCGGTAAAGGACGTCCAGGTGAGCAGAGAGAGAGCAGCCCAGCTACAGAGCCACACCTGGGCCCAGGTTCTGTGCACCCCCACGGGGAGCCTCCCAAAGCTTCTGGAAGCCCCCGCCAGGGTGCAGAAGTCACTACCAGGCTGGTGTCCACACACGCCAGAACAGTCAGCCCACCCCCACCAGCAGCCCATGAGCAGAAGGCAGCAGACAGGGCCCCCTGAGGAGCCCAGCCTCGCCCAGCACGCCACCCCCCGACGACGCACTCGGCCTTTTTAGAGGACACATGCTTGTGTGGCGCCACCACACCAGGAAAGGCCGGTGGGACAGGGTGAGCCCAGCCCCACTGCGAAGTCCCTGTTCAATGGGCCCTGTTAATCTGGGCTCCACAGGCCCTTGCCCAGGGGCAAAGTGGCTGCTCGTGGACTTCGGCTTCGCCAGAGAGCGACTTGGTAACGCATGTAGCCGAGAAGAGCCAGTGGCAGATTACAGGGTCAAAGCCTGGTGCCGTGGCCCGCTGCTCAATCTGTCCCCACTTTCCACCCTGTCTCAGGGGTGTCAGATAGGAAATCGGTGGGCCTCAAGGGAAACTGTGCCTCCCCTACCCTAACCCTAGTGGAAGTGGACAGGGTGTCCACTTCGAGGTGGACACTGGCGCATCGGTCACAGACCAGCCTCCCAGACCTGGCCTGGCTCCGTGCCCTCCCCACTCACAAGGACAGCAGCAAGGAGAAGCCAGCGATGTAGAGATTCCTCTGTGCACGAAAGAGCTTCATGTGGAAGTGCTCCACAGCCCCGGGGTTGTTCTGCAGGTTCACCTTCTCCGTCACATCGTCATACTTCTGGATCTCACGGACAGCATCTGCAGCGGGCAGGACAGCAACGAGGGGGTTTAGTTCCCGCTCAGACAACACCAGGCTCCCCAGTAAGAGGCCCAGATGTCCCCCTGCAACAGCCACCTCGAGGGAGCCCTACCTCGGACCGACTTCTCTGGCTCTTCTCCCCTCAGCTCAGCCCCACCATAGCAGACCATGAGCTGCCCTTGAGTTGGGGGTGCTGATGGCCGCCAGAGCCACTCCCTTTCCCCATGGCACCCCTATGTCTTGTTCTGCTCCTCTCAAGCCGGATGTGCCAGCAGCCGCCTGCTCCTGGAAATGCCTGCTGAAGGGGCACACGCGGCCTGCAAGTCTCAACCCAGGAGGTCTGCTGACAGTGAAAGGGCTGCGTCCTTCAGCTTTGAAAAGGTTTTACCAGACTGTTTTACCCTAACTGTGAAAGGTACTCATGCTCCTCAAAACTTCAAATGTACCAGAAGTCTGAAGAGAGCCCCGTCACGAGCACCCCTGGCTGGTGCGTGGCAGGCACATGGCCAGTCGTACTCACCTGAGATCACTGCGCCCCTCTCTCCCTGACTACACTACAGAATCCACAGAGCAGAAGGGTTCTGCTGCACCCCCAGGAAGCTACAGTTCTGGGTACAAGGGTATGCACGCACATAACTGGCGCATCGGAGCGGCTCTGTACCTGAGTAGGACCGAGACGTCTTGCTGAGACAGATGTTAAGATCTGCTTAAAGGTGGCTCCAGACAGACCCCAGGGAGAGCTGCGCGGCTGCAGTACCTTCTGTTCTGAATTTCTGGTTTCAGACTGCTGGGTCTCTCCAACACTGCCCACAGGCCGTAAAGCCATTTGCTATGGACGGGTCCTGAACCCCAAGCTCCCGGGCTGACCTCTTTGCCCCAGTGCAAAGGCTTCGCGTCGGGAGGTAGGGCTTCGGCACAAAGCGAAGTTGGGAGAGTGGCGCCTCCATGAGGGGGATTACCGCCCTTAGAGAAGAGACCCCCACACGCTCCCTTGCCTCTACTCCCCTGGAAACCCCACAAGACAGGTGTCTGCACCAGGTAGAGGGCTCTCATCAGACACCAAATCTGGCACCCTCATCCAGCCTCCAGGACTGTGACAAAGAAATGTCTGGCGTTCAAGGCTCCCAGTCAAAGTCCTTTAAGCTTCAGGGCCCAGGCCAAAACAAACCAGCAAAGTCTGAGCGCTTCCATCCTCGCAACCATCTCTTCTCCCCTGTGAACTGACCCTGCATAAACAGAGGGAAGAGGCCACCCACCGAGGCGGACTGAAACCACGGTCTAACCATGAGCCTTTAAAAAGAACTGAGATTAGTGGGAAGAGATTTCTGGGCTACACGGAGTAGAAAACGCAGAGTCCCAGAGAGCGTGGGCGTGGGCAGATCCGCCAAGAGCGCGCCGCGCCTTGGTGAGACACGGGCAGCAGAGCGTGTGCGCGACGCACAGCCGAGCACGCGCGGCGATTACCGGGAGAGCCGGAGCTGTGGGCAACTTTAGCTTTCCAGTTCAGCTGCCGAGCATTTTAAAGTAATGACAAGTATTTGGGGGGGGCTGAAACATTTTCCCACTGTCGGCTGCCGGCAGGAGCCCCACCACCTCGGGGACGACCTCGCTCCGTGGCAGAAGCCCAGTGGACTGGGGTGGGGGAGGGTGGGCCACAGAGCGCCGCCCTCCCTAACTCAGGCCCTCTGCCCTCGTCAGGACGCCCCATTCCCCGGCCCCTGCCGGTAAACACCAAGACCCACAGGGGGTGCAGCTCTCCTGGGCCCCGCCCCCAGCACTCGCCACCGCCGGTGGAGGGCTCCGCAGGCCCCTTTAGTGGTGTCCTACCGGCAGGCCAGGCCAGGAAGCAGGCGGTCACTGCGGCAGCCATTGTCTGACTTCTGAGCAGCTCCCTGACCCCGAGAACAGTCCCCTCCCCAAGCCCGGGCTCTGCCAGGAGCCTCCTGGCCCCCTGGGCTCCGCTCCAGAGTCTGCTTGGCAGAGGAGCACGCCCCAGGGCGCACTCTCGGCTGAGTCCCTGCCTGCTTCCTTCCCAGGCCTAAGGAGCCACCCACGTGCTCAGTCCCAAACTCCGGAGCCTGGCTCTTCACGCTGCTGCTGCTCCGGGCTGAGGCCACCCCCGGAGACGGCTCTGACTGGGAAGGGCTGCCTCTTGGGGCTCTGCCAAGTACTTCAAGAACAGCAAGGGCCGTGGGCAGCCGGCACCACCCTCCCGAGCTGAGAACAGGTAGGCTGCATCTGGCCTCTTCAGAGACAGTCCTGCCCGAACACATCCCGTCAGGGCCAAGAGACACAGCATAGAGAAGAGACGTGCGCTGCTCCAGTGGGGGGAGGGGACAATGCCCGTGCCTGAGTTTCCGCCGTGGGCGCAGGGGAGCACGCCGCCGCTCACGGACCACCATCGGGGGCAAAACCAAAGAAATCCAGCAGGGCTGCACTGGGGACTCTGTGGCACCACGCGCTGGCAGTCGCACTCGAGCTGGCCACATGGCGGAGGGCCTGCCGTCCACCCCAGCACCACCTGGGCCCCGGCCCAGCCCTGCGTGTGCCTCGGAAAGCTTCCCCATAGCTGCTGTTCAGCTCACGTGCAGGGATCCTCAGGGGTGGAACAGCCACCAGCCCTCCCGGCGCTGGCAGCACCACAGGACGGGCACCTCCCACCTACTCGGCAGCTCAGGCCTCGCAGGACACAACTGTGCTGTTCTGTAAGACACCAGCGGACAGCACTGTAGACCAAGGGCAGCACGGGACGACTACCAGCTGCAGCTGGCTCCTAGAATAACCCAAGGAGCCACCCGGGTGGCCGGTCAGCACAAGGGTACCTCAAGACTCCCACTGGCCATCAGGCATACCCTCTCTGTGCGTGAAAGGAGCCTCCTTCCCCGAGAAAGATAAGGGCTCCTCAGCGGTTTGTGTCCAAAAAGCCAAAACTGTGCTATACGAGGGCAGCGCAGGGCCTAAAGGGTCAAGGGCAGGGGGCCTCCGTCACAGCTCACTCACCAATGACCAGCAGCACGAGGATGATGATGAGAACCACAAAGAAAGTGTTGCCGTAGGTCACCACCAACTCCACCAGGCGGGACTTGAAAATCTTCTGCCATCTGCGAAGACAAAGAGGACAGGGCTCCGCAGGCTCGGCCTCGGTGGATGGCACCCTCCCACGTGCCAGTAGCAAGAGTTGGGGGATGAGAACTTCTGGAAAGCCCAAGTCTTAAACACTGGAAGCCCCTGCGGAGGGGCCTGCTTTCACCTCCTCCCTGCCCGGAGTTTGGACTGCTCGCCTCACACGTGTTACTACGTGGCTTGTCCACGAAACCAGTCCTGGCCACCTAGACCCTACCACCTGGGCACACCTGAAGCAAGCCGCAGATCTCCTTCGCTTCACTTTCCTCCATAAACATGCCAGGGTGCAGCTCCATCAAAGAGCCTCCGGCCCAGGCCCGCTCCCCCTGCAGCGGCCACCAGACATCAGCAGGAAGCCCGCTTGTCCCAAAGTGCAGCGGCAACTCTCAACACTCTTTTACTCGTTTTCGAGCTGCTCGGCGGATCTCAACCGACAAGGGTCTGATTCAGCCTTTGGGCGACAAGCAGCGTAAACCCCTCTCCTGTAAGCTCCCCTTCCCTCGCCCTCTGCCTTCTCCCCACTCTCTCTGGCGAATCCAGGCTGGCGCCCCTACAACACTTCACAGATGGGAAGCCCCCAAGGGGCTGTGGTCTCGCAGACTGCGTTTCCAGCAAGAAGATTCCAGAAACCACACTAGAGACCTCTCGCGTCAAGTCAAAGGCGCTCTTTCTCACTAAGAGCAGCTTCCACATCCATGGACTGCTGGAGGGCTGCAGGGGCTTGGGTGGTGGCTGCAGTGCTGCTGCACACACCCGAAGGCGTGTGAACCCGTGCTCTGGTGATCCGCACGCGGCCTTCATCGAAACAGTGCAGCACAAATACTTGCGGCGACACTGCCTTATCTGCAACTTCCCACTCAACTTTAAATGTCTACTGTTCCTACGCTGCGCAGCTGAAACCTGGAGATTCACTTCTAACAAGGCATCAGCACAGCACAGCGGCCCACGTCCCCTCCCAGGCTGAGTAACGCCCAAAAGAACATTGCGCCAGGCCGGACATCACTTAGGAGGCCATAAGTCAGCACCTTGGCCAACAACGTGACCCTGTGGTGCAAGAATCCTGGATCTCACAATGCCATCCTGTACCCCTGGACCCCGGGAGGCAGGAGGGGTCCATCCAGCACCACAAGAGAGATCTTCTCCTGGCATGGAGCGCCCCCCACCCAGCACTGGAAGCAAGATGCACGAGAAGCAGGGCAAGATGTGCCAATGGTGAACAGAGCAGCGCTCGCCCGAGGTTGGCAAGAATAAACATAGCCCCTGCCACCCCCAGCCCGGACAGGTTTGACCTGTTCCCTGCTGGCCCGGATCCCAGGGCCCACCAGCTGTGCCCAGGCACCGCTGGCAGCACAGGCCGTACCTTTTGGGAGAAATGAATGGGATGCAGAGCAGCAGCACGGCGAAGACCTCCGCGTACAGGAAGGTGGCCACCGCAGTCCACTGCAGACTCATGCCGGCCGGGGGAGGCGATCGTCTCCTGCGGGGCACCGCAGGGCTGCG